CATTTTCTTTCTGAAGTTTGCCTCAGAGACAGACTGGTATCAGAATTCAGAAAGAACTGCTCTTGCTGGCTCTGAGCCCAACCACTGCTCTCAGCAGTGCTTACTGTGTGCACCAGTTTAACTGGGCTGGTTAATACTCTTGACACAGGATCTTAAGGAAAATTGAGGGGCCATCTCCAGTCAGGTGCAATAATAGTTTTCTACAAGACCCCTAGTGCATAACTCCTTTGTGAGCAGAAGATCCCCTATTCCTTTGAGATTGACTCTGTACACAGGGGCTACGTCTAGACTGGCATGATTTTCCGCAAATACTTTTAACGGAAAAGTTTTTCCGTTATAAGTATTTCCGCAAAAGCACGTCTAGATTGGAATGGATGCTTTTGTGCAAAAGCATCCGTGGCCAGTCTAGATGCGATTTTGCACAAGAAAGCCCCGATTGCCATTTTCGCGATCGGGGCTTTTTTGCACAAAACAATACCGCGTTGTCTACACTGGCCCTCTTGCGCAAATGCTTTTGCACAGGAGGGCTTTTGCCCGAACGGGAGCAGCATAGCATTTCTGCAAGAACACTGACAATCTTACATGAGATCATCAGTGTTCTTGAGGAAATTCAAGTGGCCAGTATAGACAGCTGGCAAGTTTTTGCAGAAAAACTTGCCAGTCTAAATGCAGTGACCGATCCTCCAGCAGCATTGGCAATACATAGCTGCCACTGCTCCCCTTACTCCTCATGGCTAGTTTGGGGATTGTATCCAGGGAAAGGGTGGTGTGGCTGGCTTGCCCCTACACCGCAATCCCTCAAGTACATCATGGACTTAACATTCCCCCCCCCCCCAAAAGTCAAACACAAAGTTCCTATTGACTTTAGATAGGACATGCAGACTTCCCATGTCTACATAACCGATGTATGGTCTGCTCTTATCTTGCAGACTTGCTTAAACAGCATAGGCCAATCTTGATTTAGCAAAATATTGAAGCACATCTCTAACTTTAAGTATGTGTCACCTTGAATGGGACAACTCACATAGGTGATGTGTGGTATGTGCTTTACTGAAGCAGGGCCAAAATGAGTTTTCTAGACAGGACAAAAACTTAACCTATTCTAAATAGTATTGTTAAAGGGCATGGTCTTGGCATTACAGTAGCAGGTGCTCCATCCAAAATTCTCCATCCTTTATGCATATTATTCCCAACCATATCAGCCCAAGCAACAGACATCCCAAAGTGACTCTTGAGCTTCGGTCTCCTGCATGGTAACCTAACACATCACAGAAGCCAATTTACTGCAGAAATAGTCTATTCTGCAAAGCACGTATGTATGTGTGTAACATTGGTCAAGCAATTAGTCCTTTTCACTACAGTATTAATAGTGCTTTGGCAAGATTGGGGGCCTTCAAAGTTCCCTTGCAACCATCTGCCAGATTAAGCCAGCAAGTACACCAGGCTTGCATCCACAACAATCTTGGCTAATAGGCATTGAAGGACCTATCCACATGAATTTATCTAATTAATTTTTTACCCCAGTTGTATTTTTGGTACAGCAATGAGTGCCATAGGATGACTATGTACTGTGTGCAGTAATTCCTTTGTGTCTTTTAAACCTGTGGCTTATTAATTTGATCAGGGGAGTCCTAGTTCATTTGTTATGTGAAAGGGTAAATAACACTTCCCTCCACACTTTCATCACACCATTCATGATTTGATAGACCTCTATCATATTGTCCTCTTAGTCATCTCTTTTCTAAGATGGACATTCCTAGTCTTTTTAATTTCTTCATATAAGGAAGCTTTTACATGCCTCTTAATCATTTTTGTTGTCCTTCTGAACCTTTTTCCAACATGAATGTAGCTTTTTGAGATAGGGTGACCAGAACTATATACTGAGTGTGCAAGATATGGGCATACCATGGATTTACATAGTGGCATCATGATATTTTCTATTTATGAGTGTTCCTTTCCTAATGGTTCTTCATATTGTTAGGTTTTCAGACAGCTACTGCACATTGAGTGAATGCTTGCAGAGAGCTATCAGGTTGACTCCAACGTCTCTTTCTTGAGGAGTAACAGATCATTTAGACCTCTTTATTTTGTATATATAGTTGGGATTTTCCTTGCAATTATCAGCACTGAATATCATCTGCCATTTTATTGCTCGCTCACCCAATTTAGCAAGAAACCTTTGTAACTTTTCAGACAGCTTTGGACTTAAGTAACTTGAGTGATTTTGTGTCATCTGCTTATTTCGGCAACTCACTAGTCCAGACCATTTTTCAGATTATTTATGAATATATTGAACGGTACAGATATCTGACCAGATTTATGGGGGAACCCTACTATTTACCTCAATTCACTGTGAAAACTGACCATTTACCCCTACCCTTGGTTACCCATCTTTTAACCAGTTACTGGTCCTGCCTTGAGGGCGGGGGGCTGGACTCGATGACCTCTCGAGGTCCCTTCCAGTCCTATAATTCTATGATTCTATGATCTCTGAGAGGTCCTTCTCTTGTATCTCATGACTGCTTAATTTGCTTAAGAGACTTTGGGGAGGGATCTTGTTCAAGAATATAAAATGAAAACATTTGCTAATTATGTAAAATAAGTAAGTTTGACATTGAAATGTACAATACATGCTGAACATCATGGGCTTGGATCCTACTTCTAGTGAAATCAATGAGAAAGTTCCAATTGACTTTAGTGGGAATGGGATTGGACACTATCAGTAAATAACAGCATATATTTCTCATCCCATTGTTAAGAAATCTGTTCTTCAAAAAAGGGAAATGGAGCATCTGCTATGTTAAAAAACCCTATTCGAAAGCCATTTGAATTGCATTCCATTAGTGATTAAAAGAGCTTTTCATTTATTCAAAGTTTACGTAATTAGAGAAGTATACTGGCTCAATCCTGTTCTTATTTTCACCCCCATGGACTTAGCTGAATGGGTATGTAAAGTGGGAGAATATTTTGCACTCAGAACTTCTCATTTTGTTATAAACATATTTTGCTTTTGTGCTAGTCTCTGCATCTTGTTTTTGTCAACTGTTTTTCTCTTTTATAGGGCTCTTCAGTGTATCCACTCAGCATTATTAAGCTGTTATCTCAAATGAAAATGGGAACATAATCAAAAGGCCAAGAGTATTATTTATCTTAGCTTTGACTCCACATGTCAGAAAATTAAGACAGTGATGAATTACACATTACTGTACAAAATTTTATTATCAGAGACAAAATTCAAATTTGTTCTGCTTAAAATACAGAAGATAAAGCTTCCCATTTAGAAAAATCCATTTAGTTAGTTCTTAGTTAGAATGGAATAAAACTTTCACACTGAATACATATTGGTTCAATATTTATGAAGTAATTTTTACAGGCATATAATAAACACTTTTTCAGTTAAACTGTAACACAACACATATATTTTATTTGGTTAATGCTTTAAATTGTCCAGTGACATTTTGCATTTGCTAATATAGTAATAATGGATCCACTGTCATTCCCAAATCCTAGGACGGTAAGAGAAACAAAAGGGAACAAAAAAACTTGTTAAATTTGACAACTGTAAACTACAATTTAGCCTTGGGAAGCAATTAAGATTTTCCAATATGCAACATTATATGCCATTAAGTAAAAGAGGACTGAAGTCATGCCTTTGGGGCAGTATAAAGAAAATTATTATTTTCAGCACAACACTTAAGTACATACTTAATGTTTAGCATATGGCTAAGTTTCTCCCTTTTCCAAAAATCTCTGATTCAGCAAGGTGCTTAGGTACACTTTAAACATGAAAAGTTCTGATGTAGCTTCATAGCTTGTTTCTTTCATAACAGTAGTTGGTCCAACACAAGATATTACCTTACCTACCTTGTCTTCTAATTTTAAACATGTGAGTAGTCCCAGTGAAATCATTGGGACTGCCTACATGCTTAAGAACCTTTCTGAATCATAGCTTAAAACATTTAAACAGATGCTTAACATTATACATGTGCTACAGTGGTTGGCTGAATTGGGGTGTTCAACTCATACTTTAAGAGATTAATACATGTGCTTAATTGCTTGGCTGAACTGGAACATTTATTTATGAACAGTAATTATAGATATATTTTCAGTGATGATCACCAAGAGCCTCATCATGCAGACTTTAGCTCAGGTGGAGTTTTGCCTAAGCAAGGGGTCCAGGATAAAAATCTGTACATATATATTTTAAATGTACATCTAGAGAGACGGAGAAATCTGATACCATTCAATATTCTTTTCTTTCTTTTAAAATATAAACGGCATTTGAATTATACAAAACATGATCTGATGTGTGAAACAACTGGCAAACTATATGTAAATCAAGAGATTATACATCTTATTTGAGAAAGAATTACATTCAAGAAAAAATATATATTTCAGAATTGATGGAAAATATGCTTTTAAATTACAAAATTTGAATCAGTTTAAAGCAGAGACAGAATTAATAAAATAACTCAACCATTATAATGAGTATAAATATCTTCAGCGCTCTTTCCTTGTACTTGTGATGCTGAAGGAAGTCTCATGTAGAGTCTTTTAGGAAAATAATCTGATTTGTTAGGATGCCATTAGTTATGTCCGACTTGTATCATCTATGTGTATTTTTTGAACAGTTTTCAGGTAGCATATTTCACATATATGTTTATATTCCGTAAAAGTAGAGAAATCAAGCATCTTCAGCACAATACCTGATGATGTGCAATAATACTTTTGCATTTATGAGGCTACAATGTTCTCACCCACACCAAAGCCTATTGCCCCTTAAGCATAAAAACAACATAGCAAAATCACATGTACATAGATAGTAAAGCTGTCTTTGTAGAGGGCAGTTATGCAGCAGTTACAATGATATTTTAGTAGAAGAGAGATTGATCAGAATTTTTTTTCACCGAGTTTCTGACATCAGGGAACCTGGTTGTTGCTAAAGTCTAGAACTTGCAGAAATTACATAAATAGGGGCCTATGAGAGGGTAGCACAATTCTTAGAACATAATATAAAGCTTTATCATACTGGAATCAGAGTATAGCATTATAACAAAAAGCAACATGAAAAGCAAAAACAAAAGATCAATCAAATATGTGCTATTGAAATATGGCATATATAATTTTCACATGGCTCTCCAAAAAACAATGGGCTAGTTCCGCTGGTTGTGCTCGGTTGTACCACAAAGAGTATGCCAGCCAAAGAGCTGGCTTCATATATGTATATTACCAGTTTGGTTACAGACATATACATAAAATTGCAGAAATTAACAAGGATTTACAAAGATGCCTGGCACAGAGCTGGATGAGCATTTGTTCTTGGGTTGTTTCTATGTTCTAGGGCATATTCTGTAGTCCATTAAAAATTCCTTTACAATAATATCAACGTGAGGCAAATCCTAACAGTGCAATTACTCAATGAAATTTGGAGTAATGGCTGCAGTAGAGCTCCCTAGCTCTTTCTCCATGTGGCTTTGTAGTGCTGCACAAATAATTCCTGCCAGAAGGTTTTTTAACTCTAGGACTGTTACTCTTATGAGTATTTTTTACTGATGTATTGTTACTCTGTATTGCAAATGGTGCACAAGCAGCGACAAGACTATTCAAGCACATTAATTAGAACTTGCTTCGCTATTTATGAAATATATTCTAAGCGTTGCCCACTGGTTGAGGACCATGGATCTGATCCAGTAATCGCTTAATCCAGTAATCCTCATTCAAGCAGGTAGTTTCATTGAAGTCAGTTGTATGGACTGTGGGTTTCACAGCATGAGACCCAGTGCTCACTTTGTACCAGGGATTGTCAGGGCTGAGCCCAGGTACCTCCAAACTTGGCAGTTCATAGCCCTGGCACTTCTCATCTTACTGTGTCAGTTATGGATGTAAAAAAATTGTTTGAGTCTCAGCAGCTAATTCCTTGAGCCCCAGCACTTCTACCATTACAAATTAAACACTTATCAGACCCCCGTATGTGTTTGAATTTCTGGACGATCTCGTGGGTCATATCTTACTTCTCCTGAAGTCAACAGAAAAATTCCAATGGCTCTCAATTCAGAATGCTGACTCAGCCTTCCTTTAAAATGGACTTATTTTGAAAACTTGTCATAATGTTGGGCTCGATTGTACAAGCGCCACTCTGGTGAGTAGCCCTTACATACAGCAGTTTTAGCCTCCTCATTCTTTACAATGGGAGTAACTCATGACAGCAAGTGATACTTGTACAAGTCAAGGTTTCCTTTATTGTATGTAAATATTTCTTTCAAGAAAGTCAGAAAATAATTTATTAACAATTATAGCAATGTATATAATAATTACAGGTTTATGTATTATAACAGAACCACACTGACTTCAGCACACTACAGACTTGCACTGACAAATTGTAATTTTGCCAACGTGTTATAATCCTAATATAAAATCCATGAACTTTCATTGATGTACTTTCTTTCATTTTTGGCATTACAATGCACTTTTACTACCATACATTTGCAGTGGCAACTTTCCAAGGTCTTTGTTAGAAAAAGTTACCTGAAAGTCAATGGCAAATTTTCAACATTTAAAAAATACATTGAAAAAGAAAGGATTTTATATGGGTCTTTGCCAGTATTTTACAATTCAAAATATGTTAAATGTTTCAAGTGAGTTTTGAAGAAGAGACGTTAAAGAAAACTAAGCCCTTTCAACAATTTTGGGCAGTGTTTTCCAAATTAGATTCCTAAAACAAATGGTCCAGATTTTCCCTTGCTGTGCAGACATAAAAATATGTCATGCAAAGCCACAGGAAGATCACAGATTTATAACTCTCAAGGCCAGAAAGGATCACTGTGCTCATCAAGTATGATCTCCTATATATCACAGGCCTTTGAACCACCCCAAAATTATTCCTAGAGTACAGATTTTACAAAAACACTCACTCTCAATTTAAACATTGCTAGTGATGGAAAATCCACCACAATCCTTGGCAAATTGCTCCAGTGGTTGAGTACAAAACTTATTCTGTATTTCCAATCTGATTTTATCTAACATCAAATTTCAGCCATCATTGTAGCCTAAAAGATCATCCAGTAATATACACCTTCTTATGACAATCTCCTCCTAGTTGACAGTGTAAAGAGCTTGCCTGCATCCTAGTGATTCTCAATTGCTTATTGGCCCTTTACAGCTATTGCAGTAGATGGAAGTTAGTGTTGAGCTGTTCTAACTTAATGCACGCAGAATGACCTGGTGTCCAACCAGTTCAGGAGAGCAGTCTCTATACTCTCCAATGTTCACAAGTTGTATGGCTTTGATAATAATTTGGGCTAATATTGAGATATGCTGGGCATTCATCACTAAAGATGGTTGAAAACCAATTCTGTAAAATATGGTCCCTTTTTCTCATGAAGAATCTGGATTTTTTTTTTTACAAACTCTCTTCCCCACATACTGATTTCCATGGGAATAGTCAATGGTCAGCAGATCTGAAAAAAACAAAGCCACTTTTATTTAGATGTTTAAAATATTGGCACCCATATTTGAAAATGCGACTCTTCTTATGTGCAGTAGTCTATGAAAAATAATAATAGCTGCTATGCACCTTACGGGAAACATGTCTGTAGGACTCATGTATATAATGGATTCAACATATATATGTGTGATGCTTTTCTTATTTCTTTCATTCTTTATTACTAAAGGGTTAATTGAATGAATCAGGATCATTGATTTGAAAGAGTTCATTGGCACCAATGGAGGGCACAAAACTCAATGGCATCAAGAATTGTGTGCAACCTCAAAACCTCACAAAATTCACCTTCAATATCTCACAGAGGGCTGGAATTCACACATTTGCACTGAAAGGATCATAATATTTCAGGCATACCTGGCCCCAGTTAATGAAATATTATAGTTCTGCATCAAAACCTTACAGAGCTAATGTTCAGACACTTCCAACAATAACCCAGGGAAACCTTGGTTTAAGAAGAAAAGAGTCATAGAATTCTAGTCTAATCATTCTTAGGAGCCATGCCAGTGGACATGATACCACCAACTATAATGGGCCAAATTCACTACTGATATAAGTTGGTAACTGTACTAGCTTTAGGGAACCTCCAGATTTGCTACTGGAGAGTGTTATAGAAGTAAATAAATTATTGTAGTATCATGGAGTTGAACCTATTTGTGTCTACTGTTGATTTTTTCCTGCATTATCCCTGTAAAGCTATGTCTAGACTGCAGAGTTTTTGTGCAAAAACTTGTGGAGTGTCCACACTTCAAGTTTGTTTTTGCACAACTAAATTGACAGAACGGAGGGGGTTTTGTGCAAGAGTTATTCCTCTTTCTACGAGGAATAAGTCCTTTTTACGCAAGAGCGCCTACGCAAAAATTTGTGTGGGGACAAGGAACTGCTTCTTTTTGCACAAAAAAGCTCTGTTGAAAAAAGCAAAGGTGCTCTGGTGGCCATTCTCTTGAATAGCTATCAGCGCTTTCTTTCGAGAGAGCGTCTGTGCAGTCCGGATGCTCTCTCGTGCAAAAGCACATCTTGCGTAAGAAGCCTGTAGTGTAGACATAGCCTAAGAGATAACCATTGACTATAGAAGAATAAAGAAAGCTGTTCTGTGTTCATACACATATGAAAGGTAGAGGTGAATCTATATGAAATATCTAAATGCTGCTGGTGCTTGAGGGAGTTCAGAATCCAAAGTGCATTATAATTCCCAATTTTGTAGTTAATCCTTCTCATTGCACAGGTTCAAACAAAAAACATGCACTGAAGTTCAGAATGTTCAAAATCTGGATCAAAATCTAAATTTTGCAGCTCAGACACATTTCTAGTTATGGACAGGGGAACAAAAGAGAAAAATAAATGAGTTAAACAGATTTTTTTCCCTAAGAAGAACATTTTATAAGGCTTTCCATGAGGTATCATCTGCTATTTAATACATCACTGTCTGAAACTTAAAAATAAAAGAATCTGGAGACATATCTAAATGCAGGGTTTCTAAGTACTGTAAAAAAATCTACAGTTTTATTTCATTTATGCCATTTAAATGTAAACCTGATTCAATTCAAAACAGAAAAATACAAAATATTTTAAAAATAAACATTAGGGATTTATAATGGAAAGGGCCAACTGGACCTTAACTACAGTAGCAACATAACATCACTATAATTATACAATAATCATATGCAAAACAACAATTGGTATGTACAGTACAAATAACTAGGGCTTGTTATTGGTAGTAGACCAGTCTCTCAATACTGCTAAAACATTAATAAAGCAAACTAAAATGTTAGATTTGCACCCAACATTAGCGTTACTTACTAGAAAATACTATAAACCATTAGAATCCCATATCTAAAAAACAAATAATAAAAACTGCTCTGCATTCTGGAATTCACATATTAAAAGCAAATCACTACTTTGTAACATGTCAGTCTGCCCTTTATTGTAGCCCATTATCATTGAAAAGGTCAGAAACGCCTACATATGTCCCAAATGTACCAAGTTCAAACTGTAGAAACAACCATGTGATCAATGAGAGGCTAGAATGCAATCTGAGATACTCAGGCTACTGGGCACAAAGAGAGAAAGACTCATTTTTACTGAGTTTTCCAAGCCCATTCATGTTCCAGCATTTAGCTTCCTATAGACTCTTGGACCAGCAAAGGTTTGAAGGGACTTTCAATCATATTCTGGCTCTGTTTTGATATGACAGTTCTACGTGGTATTTTGTCATCAACTTAAAAAAAATGCAGATACATACTGGTGTTGAGGCAGAATTTGATCAACCACATTATAACAACTCTTTGCATGTTTCCATCAGAGGATACTGGAGTGCTTGACTAATACTAAGTAAGCCTCACAACATCCCTGTGAGGTAGGTAAAAGATACACAAGGAGAACTTCATTCAACAAAAACATGATAATGTCTAGGAGGAAAACACAGAACCTCGCTAATATTGCATCGCAAATGTTTGGGTCTTATCAGGAGCAAAGAACACCCTTCTATTTTGTAAGGTCACACTATTCAGCAGTGCTGCACTGCTAGCGTTCAGTGGAACAAATGTCTAAACAAGGCTTCGTACACTTGGTCCATGTAAAAAGATGGAATGGGAAGGCAGAGTTCTGCAGCTGCTGAGCTGGTGCTATTCTGCTGCATTAACTCACTGTCGTTGAGTCAGTAGTAGAGCAGGATACTCAGGATGCGGCTATCAGTTCTTGAGGAACAGAGTTCCATGGGAGCAGAAGAGTCTTTTCTCTCCTTACAACACTGTGAGCACTCCAATCTGCCAGTTTGCTATGCTGATATTGGCTGGGTCTTTGCGGGGTCCCCACTTGTAACTCATCTGTGAAAAACTTGTTGAGGATGAGTTACTACTACTGTGCTGAATTTTGTGAGTTGAACTGCTGTGTAAAAATTTTCCTACTTTGTTTGGTCACAGTCCCCAAACTACAGAGCTGATCTCTCAAGTTGCAGAAGAGCCAGAAACAGTTAAATGGTGAGGGCAGAGATATTAGTGTATATCTGTCTTCACCTATGAACTACCACAAACCACTTCTGGTGATCTTTCTATGGTTTTGCTCTTTCCACATTCGCAGCATGGGAGAATTTTGGGGCCTAAGATGAGAACATCAGTTTTCATTCCCAACAGATGGCATTAATGGTGAGCAATATCATTAAATACTAGCAAATTCACTATATTATAGGACTGGGAAGAAAAATATATTCGGGTTTCAAATTCTAGTATACTTCATGTGAATCACAGGAAAAGTGCAACAGAAATAGAAGAACAGTAGCCATGATAAATATGTATGTTTCACATTAAAGAAAACGTTGGAAAAAATGGTAGGATTGTATTTGAGTGAAAATATTACTCAAATGCAGACACAACCATGGAGTATCTAGGTAAGATAGCTTTACTGGTTAAGTTTGTGTTCATGGATCCAGGTTATTTTCCTCTTTTGCCTATATCCATTTGAATTTGTTGAGTATTTATGACAGCTGTGCATTAGCAGTGGTGTAATTACAACACATGTTAAGTAACACATCCTGAATACCATTGTCTCATAAAATCATTCTGAGGAGGTGGTTTATGGAATCCACCCAAAGAGCTATGCAAAGTTCTCATCATAAACATTGCAGATGTTGATGATTAGAGTTTAAAATGGTTATTTCACTGATCAGCAGTGAATATAATTAACTTACGGAATTAGTGTACTATGTGAGTGGTGTCTCACAATGCATGTACACTTTATTTTAATAAAGAAATGGGGAGACTGCATATATAACAACTGGCAACTCAAAAATGAGTTGGCATCCCTATAATCATAAAGAGACAATCTGAGTGCTGAAACGAGTGGCATTTATCAAATTAGGGTGACATTACATCTCGTGCCACACCTGTGTTTGTAGTCCTACACACTTCCCTCCCCTTTTCTTCATTCCTTCTGTTCATTGCAACACTGATTGTCATAGATAGTCTTTGTGCTTTTGCATAATGCCCATCTTTGATGTAACAGGAACTCACATACAAAACATGGTCATTATAAGTAAGCATGCTGGAATACAGGCAGGGACCATACAACCATGCACAAAATACTCTGAAGTTTTTTCAAACTGACGGTAACATTTACATGCACCATTTAATATCATGTTTGATCATGTACACTGAGGACTGGATTTCACAAGCATTCATGACTGTCTCTTCTTGCAAGAGTTCCTTTACAGTTTTAATAAGAGCCCAGAGCAAGAAAACTCCCTGCAATTCTGAGCTTGTCTTCTCCAGTTCAATGTCAATGCTCTCAGATTTTCATATATTGTACCTCCTCTTGCACAACTTCACATTCAATGGTTAGTTAGACACAGAGATTAGTGTGTTAGAGATTTTCTTAGCCACTGGAATAGTTCTTCTTTATATAACATTTGCCACCGTACATTGGCTCCCACTGTTTCCACAGCTCGAGAAAAAGAGGAGGCAGCTCCTTCTTTGTGGCTCTTTATAAAATTCTTTAGCTGGAAATACAATTTAAAATCAACAATTTAAAATTGAACTGAAGAGAGGAAGACTTTCCGATGCATGTAAACAAGTTAGATATTTAGGACAAAACTCTATGATCACCACTGAAGTAAATGTAGTATCACGTAGAGAGCGATTTACTGCAAAATGCAGTAAGACAGCAGACTATGTCAATTAAGCGTGATGTGCTTGCTTCAAATTGCACTGTAAGATATTGACATGTCAATGCCGGATCACATTAATATCATTTCCTCTTTCTCTCTTGTAGCCCAGCTGCTACACATTGCAGACAGCTGGGCTGCTTTGAAGTTTTACTCCTACTTAAGAAACTAAATTGGGAGGGTTGGAAATGCTCCCAGTTGAGCTTTATAAGCAAAAGTCAAACTGAAGCAGCCCTGCTGCCTCTAAAGAGGGTTGGTTTAATCAAACATTAAAATGGATGTTTAACTCAGCCTTGCAGAACTACTTACTTTACCGCTGTACAGATTGATTATTTAGCGAAGAGAGTGGATCAATTTAAGAAGTTACTGACCATAGCTACAGCGTGAAGAGCCCATCAAAAGCAGTATGTTGCTAATTATTCTCAGATTTTGGACTACTGAAAAAGATTCTTTCTGATACAGAGAAATTTTGGTCTTGAACAACAAACAGAATGGGTAGTAGCAGTGACTTGTATGATAGTCAGATTTGAGTAATAGTAGAATTTGAGTTGCTTTGTTAATGACACTGATGTTCTCTGGATGAGACAAAGATACAGCCGGGTGGTCTGCACTGCATTTAACCTCATGTATCAAATTGTTGATTTTTAGGAGAGGGTGTTAATTAGCCTCCTGGGGTATGTCTACACTACCCTCCTATTTCGAAATAGGAGGGTAGTGTAGACATACCCCAGGAGGCTAATTAACACCCTCTCCTAAAAATCAACAATTTGATACATGAGGTTAAATGCAGTGCAGACCACCCGGCTGTATCTTTGTCTCATCCAGAGAACATCAGTGTCATTAACAAAGCAACTCAAATTCTACTATTACTCAAATCTGACTATCATACAAGTCACTGCTACTACCCATTCTGTTTGTTGTTCAAGACCAAAATTTCTCTGTATCAGAAAGAATCTTTTTCAGTAGTCCAAAATCTGAGAATAATTAGCAACATACTGCTTTTGATGGGCTCTTCACGCTGTAGCTATGGTCAGTAACTTCTTAAATTGACATACCCTTGGTGAGGCTAATGCCATACATTTATTGCATCTTGACCTTAGACTAGCAATTTGTGCACTTGTTTAAAGCGAAAGGGTCTGATCCTGCATCTAAGGCACTCACTAGCATTAACAGAATTTACAGAGGGTGCTGAACACCTTCCAGGAGGCGCTCAGCATCTTTGAGGAGCAGACCTTACATTTGCACTCTTTTTTAGGAATATATTTTCATGGCCAGTTTGTTTCAAAGGAGGTGGAGCAGCCTACCCACATTATGGGAATAGGATCCCGGAGTGCAGCATGCTCTGGCACACCGTCTCAACACTGACAACTGGTCTATTGCTCTCAAACGGACGGCTTGGGGGAAGCCAAGTGAGGTTATTCCCTGAGTTCTGAGTCTGCCAAAACTGGAGTGCATAGAAGAGTACAACGTAACCATGCAGGCTGTAACCAGCCTTTGATTAGCCATGATTATATTTCATAGGAAAAATTTATCCATTTGTGATGATACATGGCAGCTGCTAAGCTCACCACCACATTGCCACACAACTTCAGACAGGCAGGGGAAGGCTATAATCAATTGTAAGAGCAGGTTAATTTAGGCAGGATGCACAAAATCACTGAAAGAAAATCAGTCTGGAATGCCAGGATTAGCCGCTATCCCCATATGTAAAGTACTGTTTGTGAAGGATCAGGAGACAGAACATTGACAGTATCCCCTGCTCTTATCACAATACACGGAGGTTTTAACTTTGTCTACAGCATCTACCTAAAAGGGATACAAGAGGCTGGGGTTTAACAGCTTGATCATTGGATGGTAACTCCAGCAGCATAGCACCACCTAGTACTGCACTAGTGTTCCAGTCCTAGTACAGAATTTAAGCCATGATTATCTGTCTGCAAGTCAGAGTGCTGAGAAATAGTTCATGTATATAATATTTCTAAATGGCTAAAAATCTCATTTTTAAGTCACATGCCTGGTTCCCCAGCCATAGGCAGATGACAAGAACAGGAGCACTTCAGCATTAAGACCAGAATAAGTTTAATACTGCCATGCAGCTGAGAAAGAGTTGCCTGCGTTATCTCTTTTGCCCACAGGATCCTTGACAATCTGATTTAACAGCTGCAAAACATTAGCCTCTTGCTGCACGCTAGCAAAATGAGCCCGTGTCACCTGCTAGGCACCAAAAGCTCTTACACGACTGGATCCCACAGTGAGAGAGAACCCCACAGTGACTCATAACCTCCCCATAGCCACTTTTAGTTCCTCTTCAGTTAAAAGATTTCTTAACCCCTATGATCTTCTCAGCTGCCCGCACCTTGCTTTAGACCCCAACTTTAAACGTTTAAATAAATTAAGGCAAAAACAAGTTCAAGCACCATGATGCAGGTAATATTTACCTCATTTAGTTCTTCTTCAGTATTAAGGAATTCTGTGACTCCACTGATAAGTTTTGAATTCATAAATAATGCTTCTCCATATCTGCAAAGGTAGAAAAACACACACATACATCAAGTAAGCCTAAGTACAAGATCATCTGAATGAAAGTATTTGATTACACAGATTTCCATTAATGGATTATACCCATCTCAAAATCACCTCAGTCAGTATAGATTGCAAAGGCAAGAGGAAGAAGAGGGAAAGGACAGTTTTATCCTTGTAGCTCAAGCCTTAAAACATATTTTTTTAGTTGTGTGTTCTTTTTTCCAATTGTCCTTACTGTCTCATTTACATAACTAGTATCCATTGCATGGATGAGCTGCATCTGGTTGTCTCCTTCCAGTACTTAAAGGCTTGTGTACATATGAGAGTTGATTTGTACTAAGGTAGTGCACTTAAAGTGGAATCACTGTTGCTGATTCACTCTACCTTAATCTACATTAACTTCCTTGTATAATCCTGCAACTGAAAAAACATGGGAATGATGACATCTCCAAAAGAAGTAACCTGACAATAAAAATACAAAGCCTTATATGATTGATGTTTAAAGCCAAGTGTGCATCTTGCTATTGTTGCTGAATATATTTTATTTCACTGAAATGCTGTTCCAGTCACTTACTTTGAAAGTGGTCACATTGACTCACTCCACTTGCTTGTCTGAAGTTTCTAGTATACCCAATTTTTAAAAAAATACATCTAGTCTACATCTGTTAGGCTAAAGATAAACCAAGTAAAAGGATGGCTTCTGAGTTTCTGCATTACACCTAGAAATGTTTCTCTAAATCTCTGCTTTGTGGAGTTGCATTCTAAGAGTAGCCAAGCAGCATTTTTTCAGGATTCACATCCGTCAACATAGCAACAGCTATCTGATGAAAGCTACAGAGAATTTGTCCTTAAAACAACACCTAATTTATCTTCCTCCCTCTGGGCATAACTGTATTAAAGATAGAGAGAAACCAATTCTGCCCTCGGATATGCACACGCATTTGGAGTTCTCTGAGGGCAGAACTAGACTCACACATTTGCTTTTTCCAGTGAGATTTGGAGAACCAATTCATACTTGAAACTGAAATGTTCTAGCATACCCACAGCTTTCTTTTCTGTTCACATCAACCTTATACTAAAAATAATTATGCTGAAACTTTTAGGTAGTAAAAGCCAGAGAGTCTTTTTAAAATGAAAGTTTTATTTAAATATATGTACAATTCTAAAAAGAGAACTTTTGTTTTGGAAAAGTTTCTATTTTTGAGGAGTTAGTTCCTTTGCTTATTAACTGGAACTTCTGTGTAAGGAACAGTGTTTCAGGTAACAACATTCCTACTCCCTGTTCACTAATAACTGAATTATTCATGAATATTTCAGTAAGCACTTCTCTTTTTCCAAAGCTTCAGTCACACTTACACACCCAAACATTCACAGGCAAATGCTTCCTCTGGGAAGACATATGGATTTCAAGAACCTTTCAGCATGTATAGGCTTTCAAACAAATAGTCCATTATTATTTCACAACTCATGACTGACTGCTTGGAAAACTGGAAGCTTCTCTGGATGGGGCCTTTCGACAAGGTTACTAGTCCACTTCACAGAAGTGAGCTCATGAAAAGAATTGCCGGGATTTTATTTTTCAAGCAGCCTTCACTGTGTCCACAGTGTAGACAAGAAGTAGTAAAATTAATCTTTTCCTTGAAAATTATGCCTTAAGAATTATTGCACTGTTTGCTATCTTGCTCTTTCAACTACTGACCTTGACAAACTGTCAGATAAAACAGTAATGGCATAACAGAACCAGCAAACCAGTGTTTCTGCATCACAGAAGCACGTCATCTAGGAATGATGAGAGTCTACTCCTGCTCATTTATTTACAGTGCCTGATTTTCCAGTACCTTGCAGCTTTTCTAGCTATTTCACCTGTGGAAAGTGGGCATAGAATACTACCAGGTTTGGCTAGTACTGTAGTATTTCCAGCCTACTTTGGACAGATATAAATGAAATTAGAAAGCAGAGAGAATCAGGCCCATGGTCAGGAATGTAGAGATTGCTATTTTCAGATGTTGGGTAAAATTGTCAAAACAAAGGGTCCTGAGCACCATTTCCTAAACTGAATTGGAAATTCAGGGGCCTAACTTCCCTTCATTTTTAGTGAGACTTCGGTTAGGCTCTTAGATACCTATATCACTTTTGAAAACAGAATTTAAGCACTTTAGATAATTTTACTCACTGGTTAAGGGGTGTGATAAATATACTTTAAAATGTCATTAAAGAATTACATTTTGGTGCTGTTGTTTCATCAAAATGACATACTAATAGAAAAATCAGTTTTAGCATCATTTAATTGTCCTCAGATACCTCATATTACTATACTGAATTACTAAGTATTTTATAATAAAGTCCATGGAAAATACCATAGAGCTGATCATTGTATTAAATTAATGTTTCCTTGTGAATTATTAAAATATTTAGTAAACTGACATATCTAGTAATACTAAAATAAAGACTGTGAAAAAGTTTATCATGGGACCGTATGTTGTCTTGATTAAAAGTCTTCAATGAAATGTTGCACAACCCATTGTACATTTGAACTCAAATTTTTAAAAGGTCCCAGTCCCACAAAAATTTAAGATCACTATCATACATTCCTCCATCAGTGTTTGATTCTGACTGTTTTATGGCATATTTTTATGATGCTTTAAACAATTTTTCATGAAAGGTTTTAATTGCCTGTTATAAAATTTATGTACATGATACGCTGGAGTTATTTCAGTCTATCAGGAGTATGCAATAAGAGCTCTGTGGGGTGAACTCTAGTGAATCTACCGCAAACTGGCCTGCCACATTGTCCATGTGCACCCTGCTAACACATATTCCCAGTTCTCTAAAGTGCTTTAATCTCATCCTATTTCAAAGATGACTAGATCAAGGTGAATTAATAAACAAGGACAGTCTGAATTTGCATGCACAGTACAAAGTAGAGTCATACCCCCGAATTGCTGCAAAATAAATGTTGTGTGGATAAGCCCTAATTTGTATTTGGGGATCAGTACAGTATTGGTTAGCCACAAGATTGCTGTAGCACAGTGATTCTCAAAATTTAACAACCCAAAGGCCCCATTTGTATTTAAACATTTTCAGGGACCCCTGTCCTGCTGCTTCTTTGAAGCCCCACTCCTTCTCCGAGACCCCCATCCCCCATTTGCTCCATCCCTCCTCCCTCTGCCATGCATTCTCTTCAACTCTCACTCATTTTATTCAAGGTAGGTAGGAAGCCTGCCTTAGTCCCATGATGGGGAGGAGTTGAGGAGGGAGGGAGGAGGAGAAGTTGATCAGCGGGGTCCACAGATCCCCTGAAGTTCTGTCATAGACCCCTAGGTGTCCATAGACCCCATGGACAAAGGAGACGTGAGTCAAGAACAGGACTTTTGTCACTTCTCATCAAAAGGGAGATAATGCAATCCCCTGCTACACAAGTGCATTCTGAGACTAAATTCCTTACTGCTTAAAATGCACCTGGGTACCACAGTGATGGGTTTCACAGCAAAAAAATAACTTGGGTGTACGCTTTAAAAAGCTTGCTCCTGGACTAAATATCTCCAAAATCGAATTTCTTCTCAAAGTCAATTTTCCCAGCTGAACTGCACTGCCATAAAATCTTCTAGACCCTCCCCCAATCTTAACCAAAGTATCATGGACAGCAAACAGAAGGCCATATTTCACACTCTTGGAAAGCTTTACCAACATGGAGTTTCCAACAAATCCTCATATTGATAGGGGGGGTGGTTATGGTGGGTTGACCATCCAAGATGCAGACATGAGGTGTGGGCTCTTTTACCCTCATTATGTCCAATGATCTGGAGTGAAATCCTGCTAGTCTTGGGGATATCCAAAAAGAACCAAGAGTATCTCCAATCAGTTCTCTATCTGCCTCCAGATCAAAATTCCCCTCAGGTGAGTTTTGGGAGCATGGATGGGAATTCGAAGTATGATAATATTACAAGAGTCCAAATTATATTGCACTGGAACCAGCTACAGTCATGGAGCACAGCACACCATAGAGAGAAGCTTTCCAAAAGTCTTTTCTCCTTCTTGGCCAGGTATGTCTCCACCCAAAAGGCTGGCCCTTCAAACAAATGAAGACTGTGTGTAAGGTCATCGTTAAGCTGGAGGGAAGGGAAATGATGTTCCATTGTACTGAACACCCCTCCATTCCATAAACATTGGAACATTTCAAAAAGGTTCTTCCCCCAGTCCTGCTTGCCTAGTCTGCAGCAAACTTTTCAGTTATATCTAACTCAGGCAAAGCTCCCAGTGAGAGATTTTTTGACTAAGTAAGAACAGGACTGTTGGATTTGGCATACATATAGAACATATCATCACAAAGACAATAAATTAATGGTCAAATTTATATATATGAATATATGATACATCTATGAATAGCTTTATATCATATAATATATATACATACATTACACATACATCCATGCAGTAGATAGATAGATAGATAGATAGATAGATAGATAGATAGATAGATAGATAGATAGATAGATAGATAGATAGATAGATAGATACACAAAATAAGACACTACAAATAACTATTATCTATACCTGGCATTTAATATTTTCCATTTTTCTCTGAAAAACTTCCAAGCAAGATCCCTGCCATGTGGATTTCGAGCTACGTGGATTATGACATCAATTGCATCTTGATCCAGGACAACTTCTGAATTGAGAGACAGGTTCAGAAGCCTTTAGGAGTGAATAAAGGGGGGAAAACTGTTTAGTTGTTACCAATAAGACCCAGAACACTTGTCATCTAATAATGAAAGAGCAAAGACCAGAAATTGCTAAAAGATGTATTTAAATTCACAGGAGAGCGCTGAATTTTATTTGTGAAATTCCAAAGAACACACACACTTTTTAAATAAAAAATATCTTCCATCCTGCAACTGGATTGAGAGCTCTCTAAAAGTAGGAAGATTTTAAGCATAATTGCAGGTGAGTGGAATATGTTAGCAAAAGCTGAGATCATGTGAAATGCTCCGTATGTACTTTTAAGAACTCTACACTCAGACCATCTTGATCAAAAAGTTTGCTAAGTGAACCTGGCCCTGTTTATGGTTTGGAAATAAAATCATGAAAAATTCATACATTTGCAAGGGACTAAATACAAAACTATATGATACTCTAACTAGAAAGTAATTTTATGCTGTAAAAACAGGGTGTCTCATTTACAGATAAATGCTAAGATGGGGACGCAATATAATTACTGAACCAGTTATCCATGACAAAGAATCAGAAACACATAAATAGATATTTCTACCTGTTTAACAAGTTTCTATCATCACTGCAAGTTAAGGCTTCTAACAATATTTTCTTCTCAGATACGGCTATGGTAGAATGGAATTTCATCCAAATGAACTCCCATACATCTTCATCCATCAATGAAACTCCTGTACAGTAAACGACATCTCTGACGTTTAGTGGGATTCTAAAAAAGCAACCCATAGAGCATTGTATTATTAAGCAGCTTCAGAGTAATGAAAAGGGATACAGGACATTGCTACTTTAATTCCTATAAGACTAAAAAAATAAAATAAAACATTTAGAAACTTTTGGTGTATTACACTTATCTTCACAGTTTTTCCTTCACCGATAACTTTCAAAACTGGATATTGAATTAGAAAAATTTCTGGTAGCACAGCATGCACCTGGAATACCTTTTCTGATACCACCCATCACAACTCCAAAGGTGTATAAAATTGTAGTTCTATAACTTCCTAACTCACAAACGTCCCACTTTAACTATGAGGGCACATACATTAGCTTTATAACTTAGCACGTGCTTATACAAATTCCTAGATAACAAAGCCAGAAAGGACAGCTCACCCAGACAGCTCTCCTGTGTATCACAGGCCATAGAACTTCCCTGAATTAACTAAAGCATATCTTTTAGACCAACATCCAAGATGTATTTACAAATTGCCAGTGCTGGAGAATCCATTACAGCTCTTGGTAAGTTGTTACAATGGTTAGCTTGCCTTCCCTGTTAAAAATATTTGCCTTTCTTCTGGTCTCAATATGACTAGGTTAAACTTCCAGCCATCAGATCTTCTGACACTTTTGTCTGCTAGATTGGAGAGGCCATTAGTAAATATTTGAGCCCTATATAAATGTTTACAGACTCACCTCTTGAACTTCTCTTTCTTAAGCTAAGTAGATTGACCTCTTGGACTCTATCACTGTAAGGCATATTTTCCTAATCTTTAATCATTCATGTGGCTCTTCTTTCAATCCTTCCTAATTTATTAACATCCTTTTTGAACTGTACAGATCTGAACTAGACACAGTATTCCAGCAGCTGTCCTGCCACCGCCAGCATAGACAAATATATTCCAACTCAAGATTCATTTGTTTATACATCCAAGGATTGTATTAGGCCTTTTTACCATGCCATTGCATTGAGAACTCATGTTCAGCTAATTGTACACCACAGCCTCCAAATCTTTTTCATAGTCACTGCTTCCCAGGATAGAGTTCCCCACCCTGAAGTATGGCCCATGTTCTTTGTTCCCACATGTACACCTTCAGATTTTGTCATATAAAAATGCATACTGTTTGCTAGCCAAGTGATCCAGATTGCTTTATGCAAATGACCTGTTCTCTTTATTATTTACTTCTCTTCTTCTGATTTTTGTTTCATTTGCAAATTTATCAGTGATGATTTTATGTTTTCTTCCAGGTCATCATTTAAAATGTTAAACAGCTTTAAAAGGGTCAGTTTTAATAGGACAAAGAACTGATCCCTATAGGACCCACTCACTCGATGACTGCCTATTTACAATTACACTTTGAGACCTAACTATTAGCCAGCCAGCTTTCAATCCATTTATGTATGTCATGTTGTCCATTTTATATTTTTCTAGTTTTTAATTAAAATACATGAAGTTGCCTATCAGAAGTTTAAGTATATTAAATAGACACTATTACGACATATGATCTCACCAAAACGAGTATTAAATTAGTCTGATGTCATCTTTTTTCAATACACCCATATTGATTGGCATTATTACATTACCCTCTGGACCATCTGATTTTAAAATGTCAGATTTTGATAGTTGCTGTTTTATATTCTCCTGAATGTGGAATGGAAAGAGAGCATTCCAATATGATATAACTACCTTTTTTCCCAAATTCAGTAGAGAATTCTTATGAAACACTTCTGCCTTTGTTGCATTATTATTGATAATTCTGATTATCAATTTATTAATCAACCATTGCCGGATTCTTTTGGTTTCTAATACACTTAAAAACTCCTTCTTCTTGTCCATAACTTTGCTGGCCATCAAGTTCTGTTTGTGTTCCTTTGCTTTTCTTATCAGAAGATATAATTTTCCCCTTTTCCCCATTTTTTATAGCTGCATTCACTGACCCTTTATAATAGGTTGGCTTTTGAATCTAATATAGTCTTATTCCTGGATTCTTTTGGGGGGGAGAAGACAGCTAGTAAAGTGTTCTTCCACAATTCCCAATTATGATTTATATTTTACTGATTAAATTCTTTCTTCTGATTATTTCACTTATTATTATTTTCTGTTTATGAAACTGACCCTTTTAAAGCACCAAGCAGGGCTTAAATTCAGCAGCTCACCTGTAACTATTTTCAGACCTATGGAAACCCCGGCATCTCCCACAAAGCAGTCATCCCTTCATCTGCCATGGGGCTAAAGCTCCAAAAGCCCTGATGCCTGTTGCAGAGTTAAAAGCCTGAGCCCCAGCATATATCGTAGAGCTGAAGTCATGATCCCAGACGCTTCCCATCCTCTATTGCAAAGCTGAAGCTCCAAGCCTGGTACTTCCTCTCTTACTGGGCAGAAGCCAGAGCTCTAATGCCCCTCTTGGACACGCCCCGAACCATGTGTCCTGCAGCTGAAGCCCAGAGACCCAAATGGGTAGGGTGTGGGGGGCTCCAGGATATAATCTGAGATTTTAAGGCCTGCTACCAAGTATATATTCCATTGATTTGGACTTTATTCTGTTCACATATTATAAATGTGATTAAAGCCATAGTCACTTGTATCTAAGTTACCATATTTTTTTAGAAGCTCCAGGGGGTAGCTAAGTTTAGTTCCCCTTTTATCTGTGAACACAAGATCTAATATGGAACTTTCCCATGTTGCCTGTGATACTATTTTGAGTTAGGAAATGTCAGCTATAACACACAGAAACCCCAAGGAAGTTTTAGTACTTGTAGCATGAGACCTCCGGCATATATTATTCAAATTGAAATCTCCTATGATCACACAACTTTTTTCCCAATGCATTATAGACAGGTTTATAAGGAGCCAGTTATGTTCCCTCGAGTGATCTGGTGATCTGCTGCAGACATCATCTAATATCTCATCTTGTACTTTAACTATTAAGACACTGATCCATACATATTCAAGATGATTTTCTTCTGTTATGGTGCTTTGTAGGTAAGCAGCTGGTATGATGCCATCTGATAAACATTGTCTTATAGTGATATTGCTGAGAGAAAAGTAAATACAGGAAGGCTCACCTAACTGATCAGCATGCCAATGGGTAAATCAGATATATAACAAAGACAGCTCAGATAATTTAAGCTCAGGGCATCAATTACTGAACAGTCTCTCAAGGCCAAATTCACAACCTGGTGCTGCAGTTACATTGATACAAACAACATACATTGGCATCTGAGTTTGACTCAGACTTCATTTCTGAAGCATGCTTATGAAGTGCAACATTTTTTACTGAAGAATATTCTGATGGATAAAAGTAGAAACTTCTCATAACTATACACATAAGAATTGCTGAATATTTCATTCCATATTGTTGAAATTTCTACCAAAAATGTAATTTTTCCAGTGACTATTGGCGGAGCTAAAAGATCTCTGGTGAAGCACACTGCTATAGCCATTTAGAATTTGAAAAGAGATTGTGATTATGGCTATTGTCAAATGAATATCTGACTTACAGTATCATGATATTGGAAGACTGAGTGAATTTCTTTGTAAATTGTGTTAGAGTTTACACTACTGCAAAAGTTACAGTGATGGTCACATTGAGACACACTCAGTAAAAGCCCGTGTTTTTCCAGCTACTTAGAACATTAGAGAATTTGGGGGGTGGCTGAAGCTTTCTATTCTGATCCTCAACTCCATGATGAGTTTTATTGTAATGTTTCAATAAAATCTCTTTCGTCATGTTCCAGTGATTGGAAACTGAAAACAATATGTTTTTTCAATATTTTAAGGATTATAAAGCTCATCAGTGCTACAAGAAAAGAAGGGGGAAAGCCTTCAAACCATATATTAACCACTGAGACAAAACATTGCAACTCTAAAGGGTTAAGAGAGGTCCCAACAGAATTATGCCTTAGCCTATGATAGTTCCCCTATATGGTTACAGAAACATGTCTTATCTACATAACCAACTAACCACTGTGTAAAAACCCTGACATCCCTAACAATTACAATCTCTTATTTGCATGGTTGTATTACAGCACAGGCAAGTCCTAAACGTGTCACTGAGACAGACACAGGACAAACCTCTAATTCTCCCCACCACCACCAACAAACAAAAACATCAAATTCAGACTCTCTTCCTGGTGTTGCTGTTTTCCTTCACCCATCACTTTAAAACCGTCTGATGCCCCAATAAGCATTGCCCAGCCTACACAAGTGATTCCTTGGTTCCTAATACTGGTGGAGATACATCAGTGCTAGACTAGGAGCAGGAAGAATACTTCGACTTTTTAATGTAGATAAGACCTTTCTTGCTGCCTCTAGACAAAGTTTCTAACTGTAAAGATCCTTCAATGCTGGAATAGGCTTTCCACTGAGGTTCTGGAATCTCTTTCATAGTAGGTTTCTTAGAACAGACTGGACAAATACCTGTCTGAGATTGTTTGGGTATATTTGTCTCTGCCTCAATATGGGGACCTGGACTAGATGAACTCTCAAGGTCTCTATCATAAGAACATAAGATGAATAGAAGAATATAAGATGGCCATACTGGGTCAGACCAAAGGTCCATCCAGCCCAGTACCTTGTCTGCCGACAGTGGCCAATGCCAGGTGTCCCAGAGGGAGTGAACAGAACAGGTAATGATCAAGCCATCTCTCTCCTGCCATCCATCTCCACCCTCTGACAAACAGGAGCTAGGGACACCATTCCTTATCCATACTGGCTAATAACCATTAATGGGCTTAACCTCCATAAATGTATCTAGTTCTCTTTTCAACCCTGTTATAGTCCTAGCCTTCACAACCTCCTCAGGCAAGGAGTTCCACAGATTGACTATGCACTTTGTGAAGAAGAACTTCCTTTTATTTGTTTTAAACCTGCTACCCATTAATTTCATTTGGTGGCCCCTAGTTCTTGTATTATGGGAACAAATAAATAACTCTTCCTTATTCAGTTCCTCCACACCACTCATGATTTTATATACCTCTATCATATCTCCCCCTTA